AGGGCCCATTCACACATTGTCGTTCTTATGCACTGTTTTAACCCATGCGTTTTAACGCACATTTTCACTTCCTAACGTGCTTTGCATTGAGGCAGCCCATTCATTTTGAAAGTGCCACATCACACTGGAATGGAGAAAAAAAAGTGCATGCACTATTTTTTTGCAGCACAGCACACGGCAACATATTGTTGTTTGTTACTGTGCATGGTGCAGTAAATTGTTAGTAAATTGTCTGTGTGTATGGCCGGCATCAAGAGACCTAGAGGAATATTTATAAAGCAATAGACGTGTGCATTCGGATTCAGACGAACCTACAAATCAACGAAATTCAGTTGATTCGGCGGTACGTCCAAATCCGAAAATTATATGCCCGAATATACTAAAACTATATTCGGGCATACATAAATTAATTTATAGAACGAGCGGTGACCATATTAGTCACTGGAGCGTTCTGCGCAGGCGCGCTGCCATCTTTGAGTATATCTTGGTGTATAAACAATGACGATCTGTGCCAGTAAAAATTAAAAGCTACTAAGCACTACACAAAAGAAACAATATCTTGGTCTATACCAAGATACCCTCAAAGATGGCGGCCGCAGAGCGCGCCGGCGGCCGACATGCATTTTAAGTGTGACGTCACACGCTGGACAAGCGGTGGCCATAACGGCCACCGGTGCATTCTGCGCAGGTGCGTTGCCATCTTTGAGTATATCTTGGTATACACCAAGATACACTCAAAGATGGTGGCGTGCAAGCTCAGAACGTGCCGGCAGATGAAATGGCCGCCGCTCGTTGCCTCCGAATCCGAAACAGCAGAAAAATCTGTTTTCTTTGATGAAACGAATGGAAACGTTTTTCGTTTTCATTTGTTACACCAGAAAACAATTTCTTTTTGCTGTGCACATGTCTATAAAGCAGTAACTGTGACATTCATCAAACATTCACTTCAGGTGACTAAATCACTGTAATTTAAAACATGTACCAAAAAGGTACGTCTGAACGGTGTTTGGTGAATGTCACATTCACTGCTTCCTTAATATACCCCTACAGTAAGGGGCTGATGTATAAACAATCCACACAGCATATAGCTGGCTGAAGGCCGTTCGCATGGCACTACCACCACTAGATGTAGCCGAGGAGCATAGGAGATTCCCATATGAACAGTATTCACTCAGCATATAACTAACACCAACAGGATTAGTTCCAGGAATGTCTTTGGTTAGAGTTTTGTAAGGACTTTACAAAAAAAGTTATTTTTACATTGAACCCAGGGTACCCATAGAAGATCAGATGTCTCACCAAAAATGATGTGTAGTGAAACACCTGCCTATCACCAAACTCCCTGGGACCCTCCACACGCGACCAACATGAAGATGTAACTAAAGTACAATGACACATACTTCTCTATCCTATAGAGCACATTTGTCAATTACAAGGCCTGCGGGCCAGAAACGGCCCACCACAACATTTTATTAGGCCCGCCAGTCCTGAGCTTTGTACCGCAGCAAGCAGGGTTTTATTTCTTTTTTTCTAGCCTCAACTCAAAAGTTAAAGCGGCAATTTAGCCGGCTGCCCTCTAAAGACCCTGCACTTCCCTCCTCGGCCGCACCTTTCTCCTTGTCCGCACTTCCCTCCTCGGCCGCACCTTTCTCCTTGCCCGCACTTCCTTCCTCGGCCGCACGTTTCTCCTTGCCCGCACTTCCTTCCTCGGCCGCACGTTTCTCCTTGCCCGCACTTCCTTCCTCGGCCGCACGTTTCTCCTTGCCCGCACTTCCTTCCTCGGCCGCACGTTTCTCCTTGCCCGCACTTCCTTCCTCGGCCGCACGTTTCTCCTTGCCCGCACTTCCTTCCTCGGCCGCACGTTTCTCCTTGCCCGCACTTCCTTCCTCGGCCGCACGTTTCTCCTTGCCCGCACTTCCTTCCTCGGCCGCACGTTTCTCCTTGCCCGCACTTCCTTCCTCGGCCGCACGTTTCTCCTTGCCCGCACTTCCTTCCTCGGCCGCACGTTTCTCCTTGCCCGCACTTCCTTCCTCGGCCGCACGTTTCTCCTTGCCCGCACTTCCTTCCTCGGCCGCACGTTTCTCCTTGCCCGCACTTCCTTCCTCGGCCGCACGTTTCTCCTTGCCCGCACTTCCTTCCTCGGCCGCACGTTTCTCCTTGCCCGCACTTCCTTCCTCGGCCGCACGTTTCTCCTTGCCCGCACTTCCCTCCTCGGCCGCACCTTTCTCCTTGCCCGCACTTCCCTCCTCGCCTGCACGTTCTCCTTGCCCGCACTTCCTTCCTCGGCCGCACGTTTCTCCTTGCCCGCACTTCCCTCCTCGGCCGCACGTTTCTCCTTGCCTGTGCCGCTGGACTTGTTGGCTCCAGTAGTTCCCGCTGTGTGTATCCGGGACATTTAATGAACAGGGACTGCTGACACTTGTAGTGCCCTCACACACAGGACTGTCATGTAATGGACAGGGACTGCTGACACTTGTGGTGCCCTCACACACAGGACAACAGGACTGTCATATAATCATTATATGACACCCCTGGTGTTCTGTGTTTGAGGGCACTACAAGTGTCAGCAGTCCCTGTCTATAATATGACAGTCCTGTGTGTAAGGGCACTACAAGTGTCAGCAGTCCCTGTCCATTATATGACAATCCTGTTGTTCTGTGTGGGAGGGCACTACAAGCATAAGCAGTCCCTGTCCATTCAATGGACAAGGCCTGCTGACACATAATGTCCTCCCACATAGGACACCAGGACTGTCATATAATGATTAGTGGGCCTAAGCTTTGTTCTGCAGCATGCAGCAGGGTTGATTTTACTTTTTATGTCCGGCCCCTGATTTTTTTTTTGCAACCCTCGGCATGGCCCTTAGTAAGTTTGGATTTGAGACCGCTGCTATAGAGAGGACAATCTGCACTTATTCACGCAGAGATAGTCTGACAAGGTGGATAAAAAAGCTGATGATGTGTCTACTCTCACCCCCTATAGAAGCTGCATTATGCCAATCCATTAAACATTTCATTTGAATTTGATTTAATTCAATGAGAAAAATGAAAACAAAGTAGAAGGATAAGAAGTGTTGTATGTCTCATGAGGTCAGACATTAAATATACGATGGTTATGTGGATGTACATTTTAGAAAGGATCCTAGATCTCCCCCAAATCTTCCATTTTGGCATTTGAATAGCAGAGAGATTCTGGGCACAAGGAAAATGTAATTATTTTCTGCAACACTGGGGATAGGATGGTTAAGAAGAACCATAGAAGCAGATTCAGATTATGATATATCAGTAAGGGAATATATCACTTTATGGACTTTCAGACGAGACAACCAAATCTGGAAGATTGCAATGTGCACCTTTCCGATGATCTTTTTTTTGACAGTGTGTGAGGATGACTGACGCATGCGCCAAAAATAATGAAGCACTGCCAATGTTCTAATTTAAAAACAGTTTTAAAATATAGATCTTTACCAGAGTGGTGTAAATATTGTACAGAGGACAGGTGACAGCAACAAGTAGAACTACACCCAGGAGAGCAGAGTGGGACCTATATAGACAGGCAGTAAGGTGCAGCAATACAGGAAGGGGAGGAGAGGGGGATGTGTATGGACAGGCAGTAAGGTGCAGCAATGCAGGAAGGAGAGTGGGACCTGTATAGACAGGTAGTGAGGCAAAGCAGGCAGTAGAGAAGAGGGGGATGTGAATCATGGACAGACAGTGAGGTGGAGCAAGGAGAGGGGGATGTGTATGAACAGGCAGTGGGGTGCAGCAATGCAGGAAGGAGAGATGGGGGGACATGTATGGACTGGCGGCAAGGTGCAGGAAGGAAGGAAGAAGGTGGCATTTATGGACAGGCAGTGGGGTGCAGCAATGTGGGAAGGAGAGGGGGACCTGTATTGACAAGCAGTGAGGTGCAGCAATGCAGGAAGGAGGGGAGGATGCGTATGCACTGGCAGTGAGGTGCAGCACTGCAGAAAACCGAGGGGGGCATGTATGAACAGGTAGTGAGGTGCAGTAATTTAGGAAGGAGAAAAGAGGGAGATGTGTAGCACAGGCAGTGAGGTCCAGCAATGCAGGAAGGAGAGGGGGATGTGTATGGACTGGCAGTGAGATGCAGCAATGCAGGAAGGAGAGGGGGATGTGTATGGACTGGCAGTGAGGTGTGGCAATGCAGGAAAAAGAGGGGATGGTGACGTGTATTGACAGGCAATGAGGTGCAGCAATGCAGGAAGGAGAGGAGATGGGGATATATATGGACTGGCAGCAAGGTGATGCAATATAGGAATGAGAGGAGAAAACTGAGTATGATCCCAATGGAAGATTACCTCAGGTTTCCACCACAATATTGCTCCACGCCAGAGTAAGCAAACTCAAATCTGGTGCACCAACATGATGCAGATTAACAAATTGGCATGCACCACTTGTATGTTTACACCACTTCATAACTGAGAACCGCAGTGGAAGCGTTTGAGTAATTTCGCGTTTGAGTAATTTAGCACATGCTATCAGCCATTAATAGAGATGGTCACAGACACAGCACTAGTATCTGCGAGATTTGGTGAGGCAAATTTGGCACAACAACACATAGAACTTGTCTTTATACATTATTAGGTTGTCATATGTAAAATGTGTCAATATTTGCACCACAAATCTGAGGTATTTTCCTCTGTTAGTTCCCACCTTTGTGCCCCATGTTGTTTCAGCTGTTCAGTTTGAATATTTTATTTGGACTTTACTTTAGCACCAAGTAACTGATTCATCAAAGATTTTTGTTATTGTTCTTTTCTTTCCAAGATTTTATCTGTTTCTGTGGACTGTTAATGAGCCCAGGCAGCAGCAATAACAATCTACCCCCCAGGCAGCAGCAATAACAATCTAATTTACTATGCAGACACATTTATCAGCTGTGAAAAAACTAGAGAATGACCAGGTAGGATTATGTCACAGCAGCTCCATTGGCGCCACCATGAGGGGCACACAGTAGACCCCCCTCCTAGGAGAGCCGCACAGGCCATTCAGAGAGCCCGCCGTCTCCTAGACAACGAGCCGGCGCCTGCCCTCTGCAGCCGCGGGAGAATCAGGCCGTAGGTTTCCCTCTCAAGCGCCACTTTCGCCGGGAAAGCTCTCTCGGTGACGTCACCCGCCAGAGGTTCCCTCGCTCGGCCAATCAGCGGAGAGAACAGCTGGATATAAAAGCTCCAGAGGGCCGAGCAGGAGGCAGATGCAGAGCTCTGTAGACATGGTGACTTGTAACGTGAGACAACCCGAGCAACACCTGCTCCTGACATGTGAGGGGCCCCTGAGCCCCAAGAAGAGGAAGAGGGAGGAGAGCACCCCGAAAGACACGGGCAGCATGTGTGACAGCGCTGGGTGCAGCCGGAGGGTGAAGAGAGCCAAGTACACGAGGCACAGGAAGCAGACTCTGGAGGCCCGGAGCTGTGACTCGGGGGTGTGCGATCTGTATGAGACCCCCAGTCCCAGCCCGGAATCTGAGAGCTGCCGACCGGTCTATGATGGTTGTGAGGCCGCCGCCAAAATCTCCGATACACTGGGACTGCAGAACTTCAGAGACTATGGAGAGGAGTGCTATGTGTTCAAGAAGAGTCTGGAGGAGCAATACATGACTGCAGACTGCATGGCCAAGCAGCCTCAGGTACACACACACACCATCACAAATATATATATTATTCATAGGAGGGATATACATCATCAGATGTGTATATATATCATTTATCAGACAAATATACACCATTGTATCTGTATATCATACATAGCAGGGGCAGCCAGTCTCAGTCCTCCAGCTATTGTGGAACTACAAATCCCATGAGGCATTACAAGACTGTCAGCTTGCCAGATGCATGGTGGGATTTGTAGTTTCACCACAGCTGGAGTGCCAAGGTTGCCTACCCCTGGTAAATAGCATTTAATACACACCATGAGAATTATACATAATTTGTAGGATGAATATACATATGAAGCAATAGGACATAAGGCAAATTGACTTGTTTATGCGTCTAGCGTCGCTGCCCAGTGGGACTGGCGTGAAGGAGCTCATACTGTAAAAGTGAATATTGAGTATTACCATCAATGACACTGCTGGCGTGTTCTGTATATTTGTACACATACCAATATACTCCTTTGTGGATTTTGAAAAATATTTTAGGCATTTTATTGGTGTGTGTTGAATAATCATCAATATGTTCTACATTTGATGTATTCATAGTTATAACAGTGAAAGGTTTGCTCTGTATTGATGTGATGTTGGTGTTTCTCTGGCAGCTGAAACCGGAATCTCGCTGCAAACTGATCAGCTGGCTGATCCCCGTACACAAACACTTCAAGCTGAGCTTCGAGTCCCTGTGCTTCGCCATCAATATCCTGGACCGATTCCTGGCCTGCACCCCTGTGGCAACGGACTGCTTCCAGCTAGTGGGTGTCACCTCCCTGCTTATTGCTTGTAAACAGGTATGTACGCACATTTTTACACAGTGCAGCCTATGTCACCGCTTGTCTACACACCACATCATTTTGCTACACTGTGTAAAGTTTCATGAATTGTTTTTTGTTAACTTTGAATGATGTTTAATATTACTACCCTACACAACCGATATCAGCGACACGCTATACAGACCTTACAGGGGCTCCAAATGTGGCAGCTGCAATCGGTTTCAGTTTTTTAAATTTTATTTATTTTCTCCTGCTGATCCTGCCAGTAGCGCTTTTTCTGTCCTAGTGTGACAACAACAACCACTCACTGTACTGTACCTATAAAAGAGCAGTGTGGTGTCCCTAGAACAGAAAGTGTGCAAGGCTACAGAACACCTATTCCTCTCCATCACAATAACATAGGGAGAAAGTATTCTGTAGTTCACTAAGAAACCTGGGAACAATGCCGATAACAGCTCAGCAAGGGTAGAGAGCACAAGAAGTTATCAGCTCACTAGATTTCTAGAAGGATCAACTGATATTTTTTACACTTGTTTCACCAATATAACAAATGCTTTCAATTGTATGTTTAATAAACCAAAAGAAAGCAAAAGGAGAAGATCATTGTCGGGGTTTATATGCACTTTAAGCTGGCCATACATTGTTGCCTTTGATACAGACAACCGATTTAAGCATCATTTGTGACAATCGGGGGTAGTAAGAAGTAGTCCTGAGCTTTACAAGTGATTCCTAACGCACCAAAAACTTTCTAAAGCATTGGAAAATCTCCTTTACCAGCCATTCCGATATGTATGTCTGGGATGGTTTTTGAGGCAGAGGGTTATACAACCGGTTATAATGCATATCTATGACCAACAAAATATGAAAATAGCAAATGATTTCCCTTTAGAACCAAAGCTTTGTTTTATGGATGGATACGTGAATGGATGGATTTATGGATGGACAGATAGACTAATTGATTTAAAGATTGATAGATGGATAGATACTTGACATTTAAAGAACTGATATTTCAGTTTGAATCACATCCAGACAACACTGAAGTAACTTCAATAGTTTCTTTATATTGACACATTTGCACTTTAGACTTTTTGGACCAGACATCACAATATCTGTACACATTTTAATAATTCTGCACTCTCCTTTCCAGGTGGAGACACGGCCGCCCCGAGTGAAGCAGCTGCTTGCCTTGTGCTGCGATACCTTCTCCCGAGAGCAGCTCCGCAATCTGGAATGCATCATCTTGCTGAAGCTCCGATTCCAGCTGGCAGCTCCAACCATCCACTTCTTCCTGCAGCACTTTTCCCTCCTGAAGGTAGCTGATGGTGTCCCCTCAGATGCTGATCTCTCCCAGGCCTCCAGGACACTAGCTGTTGCCAAAGGCATTGCAGAACTCAGCTTGGCGGATTATGCCTTTAACTCGTACCCTCCATCCCTAATGGCTGTTTGTTGCTTGGCACTGTCAGAGCGAATGCTGTGCAGGGAAAGGCCTACCAGTGTTCAGATCAGTGGTTACTCTGAGAGCCAACTGCAGGAGTGCATGGACAAGATTGACTTGCTTATCTCCCTAAACCGAGATTCTTTGCATCTCCTGCTGCCCGACGACCTCCCTGAGAAGAATATGGATTTGGATAATTAAAGGTTCTCCACCCAAAAGTATCAGTGGGTAGAAATGCCTTCTGGCTCCTAAAATCTCTTGATGGCCCCAGTGGTGTTCTGTTCAGTTGCCCACAAAGGTGTCACTACTGCCCCTATATTCCTAAATATGTGACCGAAGATCCAATGGGGGAAGTGACACTATGAGCACACTTTACAGCGGCCAATGCAGAAGTAGAAACTGTAGTGTAGGTACCACACCACTGGAGCTCTTGAGAGATATGAGAAGCAACCTATAGCTCGTGCCTATGACCCCACCAAACTGAAATCTGTCTGGGAACAAGTCGACCTTCAAGTTTGTTTTACTAAATCCAACATAACGTGAATATTTTCAAACTTGTATTTAATGCAATTTAAAAGGCTGCTAAAAGTCTCCTAATTTATTAACAACACAATGAAGTGCTTGATTTTATTGAAGGATACCGCGGTGCTTCCAATCTAACAGTATTGCGTTTTAGCCAAATACTTGAATATTATTTTTTAATTTATTTGTAGTGCAATATTTTTGTCTGATGTGTTAGTGAGTTTGAAAATCAAGCATAACACGTGACCTTTAACTTGTAGAGTTTATGTCTGAAGTTTTACATTGCTACTAATGTAATTTGCACTGACATTTTACACTTTTTATATACTTTTTGTATATTGTGTAGATAACAGAATACTTCACTGTTTATATTAAACAATATTGACAAGATAATGAGATTAATTTACTGTTGACAGTACGAGAATGAATAAATTGCTTCAATCTGAACTCTCTGGAACCCGTGTGCTCTGTACAGGTATAAATATGATTTAAAAAACTACTTGGTGTGCTAAGTTGGTACGGATTTAGAACATCAGGAACATGTTTCATTGAACACTTTGGGCCTCAGTAAACCTCAACACACTGGCAATGTTAGTTACCCACTCCAATCTACCAATTCAAATCTAGGTATCATTATTCTGGAGCAGATTGTTATTCCAAAATCATAGGCACGATAGAGGAATCCTGCTGTTTACATTTTATCCTGATGGGGGGTGGGGGGGTGTTGAGTCCCTAGTGGTTCCCAAAGTGTTGATTGCTGATTGCAATGTAGAAGAAAAACGGGAGCTCTACTGTTGTGTTACCAGTCCAGTCAATTTTATTGCACAGGAAGAGAAGCCAAAGCGTTTTGGGGGCCCAAAAAACGCAGAGAGGGTATAGAATGCAATGAGTTAGGGCTGGAACTAACGATTATTTTTATAATCGATTAGTTGGCCAATTATATTTTCGATTAGTCGGATAAGGAAAAAATTAAATCCCATTCTTAATTTAAAATAAAATACACAAATGGAGTGTTGCAAACATAAAGTTTGCATTCGAATAAAACTGCATGCACAATTGTTTTGTAATCACACCACACTGGAATGCACAGCATTGGGGTACTGCACGTTCTGGTATAGGCAAGCACACTGCGGGTGGGAGGCCGGTTTGGGGTGCCATCGGTACTGATCATTGAGATGTTTGAATATATTACAGGGAACGATCAGCAAATATTTTACAGATCGTCTCGCAGCTCCCCGACCCTGCACCGCCACGCTCCTGACTTGACCCTATCACTCCTCTCTCCTTGCCCTGGGTGCCGATCAGCTCTTTGACCCCTTATCTGCCGACACAGGCAGGGGAGAGCAGCAGGGATCAGAGGGGAAACAGACCCCAGCGTACAGGGGACTCCTAACGGTGAGGAGAGAGCTGCATAGCCCATGCGGCAGCAGGGGAGGTTTAATGGGGGCTCTCCTCACCGCTGGGCACCGGCTGCAGGGGTCTGTGTCCTCTCAGATCCCCGCTGCTCTCTGACACAGAGCCGATGAAACACCAGCTCACAGCGTGGAGGAGAGAAGGAGGGGCTCTGATTTCTTGTTTCAGCCCTACAATGAAACAACAGTCAGTCTGCAGCACGATGACTTACTGGACTGATAATACTACTGTGGAACTCATTTTTATTTAGCAGAAACATCTTTTTGTCCTATGAGAAGGAGTCAAAGATTCTCTCCAATTATACCAGACAAGCATACACATTGAAATAACTTTACTGACACCAATCTAATGAACTATCAAAAACACAGCTGTAACAACATTCCTTATATGAGTACCACACTGATAACAAGACAGTAACACTTACTGACCTAAAGGCATATACACTGCCCAAATCTAAGACAATCTGTAGGCAGATATAAAAATACACAACTGCAGTTATGTAATCGTTATATTGTTGTATTTATCTGTTAAATACAAACAGTGTATCTGAATGTGACCTGGTCTCTGCCTCCTGCAGTCCCTGTACAGCTGGACTGGAATGTGAGATGAAGAAGCAGCACCACAAGGAGCCATTCAGGTAATGTGCTGACAAGAAGCGTACTGATAGGCAGAGAGAGCAGAGTGACAGATGAGCTCATCACCGTGCTGTTGTAAACACTTTCATTACATTTTTATTGTCTGTAACCTAATTTGGGAGATTTTACCTCATTTTCTGCACCCATGAAAACAGGACAATAATTAAGCAAAACAAATGACAAACGCACTCAACAATTCGTCACCAGCTATACAGCAAGGTGCACACGAAATGGGCTTTAAACAGTAACACAGTAGAAAGTTATCATGGCACACTTAGGCTTGGCTTGTGAGTGTGCCAGGACAATAATTAAGACGTTGTCACCAGGACAATAATACAACAACAGATTTCCCATCCTTTTATGTCATGACAGTAAATGAGGGCAAATGTTCCCAGTTTGGACACAGAGTGCAAATAAAATCATGAGGATGGCTCTAATTCTTCCTCTACTCTGTCCAAAATTGAAACAACATTTTGTCTAGAGTTGGGTTTTAAAGCTGAACTCCAGGTACAAACAAAGTGCATCTAAATATATTTCCTTGTGCCACAAATGATATGAATCCACTTCCTGTGCACCAAATTCCTTTGCAAACACAGATATTATCTTGTAGAAGTAACGGTGACATCATCACTGGGCTGTACATAGCCTGTGCAGAGCTGTGGGAGGGGTCCATCAGACCCCACCCACCACAGGAAACTGAAGGAGGGGGCGTGAACAAGACCAGGCAGTTACCCTGCACAAGGAGAGAGCCGCAGTGACCGGTCTTTAGTACAGGAAGCTCCTGTACAGAAGCAAAGTGTCACACTGGATTACTGCACACATCTGGAAGAAATACACAAAGCACACCAAGATTCATGTAAGAATACACATGCCTCTCGTATGAGGACAATAGTCGCTTATCCCGGAGTTCAGATTTAAATTAGGGCCTGTACCTCCTATTGAGAATTAATGTTGGAGTGCTTGCTTGGGGTGTTCTGATAAACTCTTCACCAAAAACAATCAGCTGCACCTTGTCGGTGTTTTGCCTGGTAAGAGAACACCGGGATGAAGACCATATAAATGTGCACAGCAGGAATACAAATACAAAACTTTTATGGCCTGTTCAAACCATCGCATTGCACTAAATGCACAGGATCCATGCGTTTAGCATATCCAATTGCACAGCGTAGTGCCCACTAAATGCACTGGTGCATTGCATTGGCATTCCTTTGAATAGCATCTCAATACACCTCTTGGCACGTGGGCATCTTAGTGCAGCAATATCACGCATTGCCGTGAAAAAAGTAATGCATGCAGTAGTTTATTTGACCACACTGCAACGCATGCTATTGTAGTAAGGCACGTTCCTTGTCCCCCAGTGTACTCAGTGGCTTGACCTGCCTGCCCCTGTGTCGCTATACAGGGTACAGAAATGACCTAGAGGTCAGCGTAGAGTTGCCACTTTTGTTCCGAAACCGGAACACTCTAGTGACGCACGGAAATTATTTTGGGAGAATGAGTCGCAGCTTATTCATATGTAAATATCACAGTCCAGGCTATTTTCAGTGGGGGCCAGTAGCCCCTATCTTAATTTTGGTTGCCCCTGTCTGCCTGATATCTTGTGCCTGGGTTTCAGCTACTATGAAACATACATTAAAAACCCGGATTGTCTGGATGAATCCAGGATAGGTGACAACCCTAGGTCAACGGACTAAACCACTGGGCGTATCAGGTAATAATCAGGAATTGGACAGTGTTGGATTCTGGATGTTCTTGGGGTCTCTTTATTACAACAGTGATCAGTGATGTGGGCCTTATTATTATCTTCTGTACAGGGAGGACTTCATTCTACACATTTTAGCAACAAAGTCACCATGTTTGTGCTGTTGTACATGAATGGACTCACAAAGCATGGTACCTGTGTGTGAAACCTCAGCTAGAAACTGCCATTCTCTGACTCTCATGCTGTAATTTGTTTAGGATTAATGGCTTAACTGAACAGATTCATCTTCACCGGCCCACGATGCAGGATGCAACCTGGCAGCTTCTTCGCACACAGGCATTCGTCTTTGTGACGCATTCCCTTTAAAAATATAAAGCGGCAATGTGATTTATGTCTTTAATTTACCAGCAATGACACACCTTTCTGTACTCACCTGATTATATACATCTTATGGCTGATTTAGGGGGTCTCTTCCCCGATCTGCCCCCCTCCTATGATCACATCACTCAGTAATCAGTTTGTACCCAACAATCATTAACCATTGTGCCCATCCATGTGATCGCACAGAGGACACGTCTGATCTCCGGGTACAGCAGACACATCAGCGGTTACAGACGTTGGTTTCTGTGTACACTAATGACACATAACAGATGGCAACAGAGAGGTGGCAGAGAGGGCGCCAATACGGAGGGAAAGGGCGCAGGGACAGGGAGAGGCGGGGGGTCCCCGGGGCAGGAGGACGGGGCACAGTGCAGGCACTCACCGGGGGGAACAGCGCCACCTATAGAGCGTACCGAGCAACTGCCGGCAAAGGAGACACCAGGCAGAGACCGGAGACGCAGGTGTTGTGTCGAATTCTTTTCCCCCATCGATGTGTGTTAGAATTCGACACAACACCGGGCACACTGAACCGGCTGGGGACCTGCACA